TTTAAAAATAAAAAATTATTTTAATACATTTCTAAATAAAAAAACATTTTGAAAATGACTATACTTACATTTTTTTTAAGGCTTATTACTTCATAAACAAATTGAGTGGTTGTGGTTTGAGATCATTAATTGTTAGGCATCGTATGCTTTCCCAAGTTCTTATAAACAAATCATTATGTTAGTAATAACATTTTAATTAAGTAATTTGTTTTTTACTATCTTTTCTCATCTGTATAAATTTAGTTTTGGAGGAAGCAAGTTATCATGTGCTTCATCATTATAAGGATCCAACCTCTGCTCGTATCCTTATATGCTCTCTAAAATTAATTGCCTCCATAACCACACACTTAGACTTAATTTCATAATTGCCAACAAAGTAAAGATCGACATGCTAGAAAGGATCAATTTTAAAGTTGTTAATAAATTCTGTTTTTTTTCTTGTTTTGTTTTGTTGAGTTTTGTAGGGTAGATCTAAAATTATATTTCAGGAATGAATGAATGGTGTTATTTCTTTATATGCAATACTATTATGAATTCTTTAGTTCCTTTCTTTTCAAATACAATAGGAAAAAAAAAAATCCCATCAATGATACCTTAAAGTTGTTTGATGAAATGCTTAAAGGGAATTTATCTTCAAGAAATCATGGATAATATTATTGTAATTATAAATTATGACTGTAATTTTGTTATTTTTATGCTTCAATGGCTACTTAGTCATTAAAATAAATATAATAGTAAATTTATCAATGATTATATATGTTTTGTTTTTTTTTTAAATTTTAAGTGTTATTATATGTATAAAGTTTAAGAGACAAGCTGTAATTTTTCATATCTTAGATTAAAATTGAAAAATAAATCAAAATATATAAGAGTTTTTTTTTGTAATTATTCCAAAAATTTATATAAATGAGCCTTGAAAACTCATTTTCAAAACAAACCGTACATGATATCTGTAATATACGTGAATTAAAATTAAATCTCATTGGTGGTGTATATTTGATCTTAAAATTTAATGCACAAAGCTAAGGTTAGTGTATTTACAATATATTACGATAAAAGAAAGTAAATTAACTCACGAAATCAATAAAAGCAACAAAACAAACCAAAGTCTTCTTTCCCCCATAATTTCAAATCCTAAAGTCCAATCAAATTATAATTAAGGAAATGATAACAAACGGTTGGATTAGAATTAGTAGTTAACACTTAACACTTGAATTTTTTTTTAATTAACGTAGTTATTTATATTAGCTTGTATATATTTTAATTAATTTTATAAGTTTTAATATTACTAATCATATAAATATTTAATAACTCTAAAATTTATAAAAATTAAACTAATAATTTTCAAATAGTAAATTTAAAGTTTAACGGTTAAGCTACACTCTAATATTAGGATTGCACTTGCATTTTTTTAACAATACGACATCGTTGCCTTTTGAACAGAACAGGACGTCGTTTAACCGTGTCCCCTTCGTAATAGGACGTCGTCTGTGGTGCGAGCGTCTGTTATTTATTGCAGTTTCTCACTACTTTCTGGCTTCAGCTCTTCTCCGTTTGTGTGTATCAGAATTCAGAGCGCAAAACTTTTTTAAAAAAATTAGGTCAAAGGAAATTCAACAACAAGATGGCACGAAACGAAGAGAAAGCTCAGTCGATGCTCAATCGATTCATAACACTAAAAGCCGAAGAAAAAAAGAAACCTAAAGAACGCCGTCCTTACCTAGCCTCCGAATGCCGCGACCTCGCCGAAGCCGACAGGTGGCGTCAGCAAATCATGCGCGAAATCGGCCGCAAAGTCGCCGAGATTCAAAACGAAGGTCTCGGCGAACACCGCCTCCGCGACCTAAACGACGAAATCAACAAGTTAATCCGCGAGAAATCGCATTGGGAACGCCGTATTGTTGAGCTTGGCGGTCCTAATTATGCCAAACATTCTGCCAAAATGACGGATTTGGAAGGAAATATTATTGATGTGCCTAACCCTAGCGGGCGTGGGCCTGGCTATAGGTATTTTGGTGCGGCGAAGAAGTTGCCGGGTGTCAGGGAGTTGTTTGAGAAACCGCCGGAGCTGAGAAAGAGGCGGACGAGGTATGATATTTACAAGAGGATTGATGCGAGTTATTATGGGTATAGGGACGAGGAGGATGGGATATTGGAGAAGGTTGAAGGTCCTGCGGAGGAAGAGATGAGAATGCGTGCGGTGGAGGAGTGGAAGAGGATGGAGGCAATAAGGAAGGAAGCGAGGAAAGGTGCCAAGGAAGTTGTGAGTGTTGGAGTTGGTGTTGGAGCAGAGGTTTTGTTTGAGGAGGAGGAGGATGTGGTGGAGGAGGAGAGGAGGGAGGAGAGGGAGAGAGAGGATATTGAGAGGAAGGAAAAGGAGAGAGAGTTTGTTGTGCATGTTCCGTTGCCAGACGATAAGGAGATTGAGAGGATGGTTTTGGAGAAGAAGAAAATGGAGTTGTTGAGCAAGTATGCTAGTGATTCATTGATGGAGGAGCAGACTGAAGCTAAGGTTATGCTTAATATTCAGCGCTAGATGGCTGATGGTATGTAATGTTGGTTGGTTTAGAGCTTTCTTTTTGAATTATAGTTACAGTGCTTGTGGTTTTATGTAGAATTTGTTTGACTTGTTAGCATTATGATTAGGCGGTTGCTTTGTGTTTAACAAAGCAAGTTCTAATTTTTCTTCTTTACATTATTTTATTTTACAATGCTCAAAATATGTTTGCAGTAGAATGCTGATGTTCTCCTTTAATGTTTGCTAATGTGAAAGTTGTGTTCTGACTTTGTGGGAAATGTACATTGATTTTTGATTTTTCATATTCATTTTGTTTTCTTGCATCAACAACAGGAAATCTGGATTTGAGGTAGAGAACCAGTCTATGTATTCATGTTAAATTAATACCCTCGTCTCTTTCATATTTCACTTGGTTTGTGATTCCTCGGGCTTTTGCTGGAGCGTGACATTGTTACTGGACGTGGTGACTTGTTCATTAGCTGATAAGCGAATTCCCCATCATATAATGTGTTTTGAAGCTCTAGAAAAGTCAAGTTTATGGAGGGAGGGGGACAAATTGGCGGGCTGCTGTGACTTTTAATTCCAGGAACTTGATATGCTGCAACATGATTAGATTTTTCCTCTAGGATTTGCCTGGTATCTCAAATCCTGGTGAGGTCCTTCCGTGTTTATTCTTAGAAGTGAGATGAAAAAGTTACTTTCTTTTGATTTCCTTTGGGGAGATTTTGAGAGGAAGATGGCTATGCTTTGCTAAGTCATTACAGTATTTTGTGTTATTTTTAAAGGAGAGCTGAGTGTTTGTTATTCTGAGTGGAGGTGTCTTTGGTTTGCTTTCATAATTATAATCCGCCTGCTGTTGTTCAATATCTGATTTTTGTTGATTCTGGGATCATGATCAGGTTGTTTGGAGGTGGCTCTTTCAGGGACTGTTGTCCTAGTGGAATTGTTGTGTCCTTAACCCTGCAAGGGTTCAGTTCATAGCGAGCAATTTTCTGTTGGAAGGGTCTATGCTAGTTATTATCATTCAGTGGATGGTGGTGGTTGTCTTTGCATATGATGATGCCGCATCTTGAGTGGAGATTTTGGACAGGTCTATGTCGTCCTTTCCCCCCCTTCTTTTTCAGGAGCTTTTATCCTCCATTAGTGTTCTTGTGGTCCTGAAGCTGGTAGAGGAGTAGCTGCTTCTTGGCAAAGCAAGCATCTGTGTCTGTTAGTCAAATTTCAGCGTTTGGAAATCACCCTTCCGTTTTGGTTTATTTTTAATAATATTTATGACAGCACGAAATTGTAACGCAGAGGTGTAGGTTTCTGACCTCAAGAAAACGATGAGCACTTTATCATAATGTAGGGAATGATTTACAACTTATCCTGGGATGATTCCTCGTGTGCAAAGTAGATGACTTATGGTCACCATTCCTACATCTCTACTTCCTGTGCATTTACATCAAAATGCTTCATATTGGTAGCCAACAGATTCACCATGTCCGTACGAAAGACAGCTAGAAAATCATCAAGAACACAATAATGCAGCTGATTCATCTATAGCATTGAACTCAGCAACTTGTAGTCACGTGCCTAACGGGGGACATCGGGATGGCAACAAACAGCAGCAAGATAACCTACAGAACAACATCTAGAATACCAAACAATATATTCGGGTGTGATTTGGTGCTATGTTTGCGGCTGTGTTTATAGGAAAATGCTATACGTTTGGTTAGATGTTAATCACATTTTTATTGTTGTGGGTCTCACCTGAAACTAATGCTGGAACTCTTTCTTTGTTGTGGGTCTCACCCACAGTTTTGAAACCCGGCTTGGTGGATTGACTCGGGAACCGGCCTCCCGGGCCTGGGATCAGGCTGGTTCTAAGTAAAAAACAGTCAAGGATTTGACCCGGTGAAACCCAGTCGACTCGGCTTGTCGACCCGGATAAACTCGGATGAAACTTGATCTTATTTTTTTTTTCTACTATCTTGCTTTTCATTTCTCCTTTGAGCAAGCAAGCGACACTAAAAACAACCTTTTCATTTCTCCTTTGAGCAAGCAAGCGGCACTAAAAATAGGATGAAAGCAAAGCAAGGAGTGTAAGCCACTTGCTTGATAGGATAAGGAAAGGGAGCTGAGAATGAGATTGGTTAGCTGAGACCAAGAAGGGATAGAGTTGAAAGAGAGGATTTGATTAGCACGTCTTTTGCCTATCCTTTCCCGACTCTGTTGATGGTATGCTTGATGATAGGATGGCTGAAAGCAGCTCGTCTATAATCCAAAGGTGGGTCTTTTCTTCAAACCCTTCTCCTTCCCCTCAATCTTCTTTGCCTTCTTTTGTATAATCTCAGTCATCCACTTTGCCTCAATCAACGATGACGGGTAATCTAGAGCTCCTAAGAATGGCATCTGCTGGGTTTGATCTTAAGGCTTTAAAGAGAGGTGTTAAGGTTTTGAGAGAGTGGCTTACACTCCTTCCTTGTTAAAAAGGTTGAAACTTTTCAAGGTTTTCACATCTATAACTTGTAAGGGTGTATTTTTTTGTGTTTTTGGTGGTGGGATTCATGGAAAATTTATGGAAATGGGTTTTCATTGTTTTTGCTGGGTTTTTGGAATTGCATTTGGATTTTTTTATTGAGTTTTTTTGTTGGGTTTTTAATTGGGGGCATTTTTGAGGAATTGGTGAAATGTTTTTGTTTTTTTTTTTTGACCCGGGTTAACCCATCTGACCCATGACCCGATCATTGGACCGGGCAATCACCGGGTCAAGTTTAAAAACTATAATCTCACTTGAAGTTAGGGCTGGAACTCAATTTCTTGAAAAGTAATTTGAATTTGTTTTTTGTGAAGGCATGCTTTCTCTCTTTCACTGACAATACAAATAAATAATCATTACAAAAAAATTTCAAAACAACTTGAGAGGTTTCTCATTATTCAGATCTAGAAAAATCTTATTATTTCTTAAATTTTCATCATTGTTTCTCTTTATTCCCTTCTCTCGTTTCTTGTTAAACGATAACGAAACCATTGTAAAAATTTTCCATAACAACCCTCTTATTTCCATTGTTTTTTCTCTTCTCATTCTCCTCTTTTTGCTACATTTTTTTATTTTAGTGTTCTACAAAGTAAACAATAAAGAGTGAATTAATTCACTCTTCACTATTTTTGAATCAAAACAAATCCGGTCAAAATTTAAATGTATTAGATTGGGTTTTACCTAGTAAAATAAAAAAAATCCAAAAACATTTCTCAGATATTGTGTTTTATTCGAGAAGCTAGTATTTAACATTATTCAATGACACTACATAATTATATTAAAAGGAGATTGCATGATAACTTAGCATTTGCAGAATTTGATCGCAATTTTAATTTTGTTCCTGATAATATTTTATCTAATATTGTTGAATGCTTAGGAAGCCATGAAAACTGTAGTCATTTTCGGATGAATTTCGTATATGATGAAATTACAAATAGTTTAATGGAATAATAAAAATACTTTGTATAAAGCATTGTTTATTTCATAATATAATAATAATAATTAAATTTATAATATTTTAATTAAAAACCAACAATATTAATATATGTTATTTTTAATTATTTTATAATCTTAATTTGAAAAACATACTTAACTAAATATATTAAATTATTTTGTATTCAATTTTAATTTTAAATATAATTTTAATTAAATATATATTTTACTAAACCAATCTTAACTAAAAATAATTTTTATAAAATATTTTTTTTTTAAATTATAACTATAAAAACTGTCACAATATCACATACACTTTTATAGTTGTTAATAAAATTATTTCTTCGTGCTTGCCTTTTACAATTAAATTGCTTTTTTTTTGTCCTTGACAAGAAATATCAATTGCCTTGGTACTGCGTTAAATTTATCTCTTCAATTTTGAATGCATGGTGAGATTATTTGATTTATTCCTGGGAGCAAAAAATTTGAAACTATCATTTAGGGTTTTTTTTTTAATCCTTTCATAATTTTTTTACAATTTTGTTTTTCAATCTAGATTTATGAAATATTATTTTTTTAATTTGATTTTTATTATTCTGATTTGTTTTTTATCTTTTTATTCATTTGATTTCTTTTAAATTTCACCACTTATTCATAAATTCATAGTTATCTTTTAATTTATCTTTTATTTTTATTTTTATTTTTTTAATTGTTATTTTTAGTTTTGAATTTTTTTGTATAATTGAATTTTTTCCCTTATTTAATTATTTAATATTCCACTGGTTGGGGATTAAATTTCTTGATTTTTTAATGTATAGTATCTAGTGACCTGGTTCACATGCTTGAAAAGTTATTATATGTTGAATTTTTTTTTTTTAATTTCATTGTTTGACATTGATTTTTTATATATAAAAAGAGTTTTGTGTTTTTTTCAATCTCTTTTATCAAGTTATCATGATCTCATAACTTAGATCATGAATTTACAAGTTAACCCAAGTTAAATCACCCGTTATTATATACATTACATGTTTATTATACTAATTTAAATTATTATTTTTTTAATTCAATTTCATTCTTCTATAATTAATTAGCTTAAAATTAAACAAAATTGTTTTCCTTTCCTCATTTGAAAAAGATTAATTGATCCTTTTAAAATGTTACTGCATCACATAGACATTAATTTTTTTTAAAAAAGAACAAATATGAAATAAGACGCCTCGGGCCTATGTCTGGTTTCAGCTAAAACAGAAAGTTCTGAAACAAGACTTGATTGATTGAGATTCATGTCCGTGTGCTGCTTACAGAGGCTTCAATTGTCTTCAAATAGTCACACTGGGGAACTGGCATAATCCTCGACCTGCAAAAAAAAAAAAATTATCACGAAAAAAAGAGAGAGTAACAAAGTGAATCTTTCATGTCGCCAACTTGCATCAATGCTTTGGCAAATAAGAAATGTGGTTTGGATATCAAGTTCAGGTGAATCATGCTTTCGCAATTGATGTTTTTTTTGACTAATTTTCTATTCGTTTGTAAAACAGTCGTGCAAGCGAGGTAAAATCATAGGGTAATTAATATTTATGTTGGTATTCATGTGTTTGAGGATTGTTCACGGTCCTTAAACCCACCCCTCACTTAAAATCATGCAAACTCACTTGGATTCCTGGTGGTCTGCACAGCAAGTCCATTGAAGTAGCAATTGGCACCCTGGCTCCTGAACTTAGCCCAATACGAGCTAAATGCAAAACTGGCATGCCAAATTACTGACAATGGCTCATAACATTCCTTCCCTGGGGTCAAGGCTTCACAGGTCCCGTTTCCTTTACTGCATGCAAAATTTAATGCTCTTTCCAACTCTGTCAGATTGACGTCCGGTGCTGCTACGCACCATGATTTGCCTTCGTAGGGCATGTCATTTTGTGTTGCAGGTAGCGGTTCATAGTCTGATGATGCTCTCTTCCCTGTCAAATCAATTTGATATATTGATGTCCCATTTGGATGCAACAAGCCCCAGTGCCGCTCTGTTCCGGGGCCAGTCTTTTGGTTCTCATCGTACAAGGAAAAGATAAATGCTGGTATGAACAAACCTGGTCTAGCTGGGGTGCCGATTTGGGGCCGACCAGTCATCTTTGTAACAAGATTCCGATTGTAAGTAGCTGCGTTGTAAATGCTAGCACCAGTTTCACCGATATCGCCTGCATTAGGCCAGCCAGTTTCAGCTATCGAAAGCCGGATACTGTGAAATCCAAGTTTGGCCATGGCAAAAACAAGGGAGTCAAGCATTTGGTCTAGGAGGTTGGTGTAGACCAAGCCACTACCGGGGTCAGTGTATTTGATATTTGATTGAAACAACGCAAAATCGAGGTTTATATTGATGGGATTTGCAGACCAAGGGAAATAAGGGTAGACGTCAATGAAGAAAAATGACTTGGTGCTGTTTAAGAATTTTAGCAAGGGCACCATCACGGTAGTTGAGATATCAGACCGAAAAATCCCAGTGGATGGTGGAAAAGCTGTCTGCAGCACGTCCATGGCTAGCGGAGTGCCTACTTTGATGTTACGAATATCCTGAGCTCTGAGAGAGATCTTGATTCTACGCATTGCAAGCACAAGATGATTCCAAATCCGTTTTCCTTCATCTGAACAATAGCTGAGAACTTCATTGCCAACAAGAATGGTACGGATCATGGTTTCAGGGTGGTAAGCGAGGACATTGTCTTCGACCCATTTGTTGGCGGAGGTCTGGTTGGTGGCTATGCTGATGATTTCATAATTGGGAACCATAATGGAGACCCGGATATCAGTTCCCGCTAAGAGTCTCAGGATTTCAGGGTTGGCATCATAGAGCTTTACACTGCCAGCTTTCATGGCTCTGAGAGATTCTATGGATTGACCTGCAGATGGCAAGTTGTTCCCAAGCAGGCCATAGTTCACCCCAACCTTCCCTGAAGGCATTGCATCTGTCAAATTGAATATTCTGGAATTAGTTGAGAAAAATGAACAAGAAAACTGAAAGTGACATGTTTGGTGGCAGAAAACTTACCAGAGAGAACAAGAAGAGAGAAGAAAAGGAGAGCATCACCATGCATTTTTCTTGTCATTTTGTTTCCTGAAGCATAGTATGTCTTCCCATTACAGAGTTCTTATTGGAACTTCTATAAGAACTCTTGAAGCTCGAACTAAATTGACTCTGCTATCTTTGTATGGGCTTTATTAAAGAAACTTAAACAAGGAACAAAAAACAGACATAACCGATGGACATAATATATTTCAAGTGGAAAAGATAAAGGTAACGAAGTGAAAGCAAGTAGGTGATGGACCTTTTTTGATTCGGTATGTTTCTCCTGTTTCTGTGACAGTTCAAAGGGTGGATGGGAATTTCCCATTGTGTGAAATGATTAACAACTTACAGCCTTGTATGGCCTTGTAGATTTCTTTGAAACATCATGCCATCCGCACGGCTGCTTAATTTATAAGAATTAGAAACAAAATGAAAGAAGAAAAATGTATGATTCTTTTGATTTTCTGATGATAGAAAGGATGGAGAATTGCAGCATTGTGTATCCACCTTAAAACTCAAGAAAAAAAAACAAAGAAAGAAAGGGAAAGCGGAGAATGAAAGCACAAACAAGCAGCCTTAGAAAAAGAAAAAAAGAAAAAAAGAGGGAGAACAACCTTCCAGATACACTGACTTATATCTAACTGCCTCTGTCTGCTATAAGAAATTGCTTCATAGTTAATTTACCTGCACCTAAAATCCTTGGACCTTTGTGATTTTAGAGACATCATCAGTACAAGGGCATGTACAATATTTTGGATTGTTGTTTGTAGTTTGGTTTTTTTCTTTTACCAGCCAACCAGTCCTTTATTGGTGAAACTTTCCATGATTCTTTATGCAACTTTGAGTTTGCCAATGGTTTTAAGAGTCCGCTTCATTGGTGCTGCTACATTTCTTACTTTCAAGTTTTGCTGCTATTCCAGTTCGAGTTTGGTTCTGCTTGGAATTCTGTTTTGCCCTCTGGTTCTGGTTTGGAGTAAAGTTTTGAATTTGCTCTTGCAATGGTTCCATGGAATCACTTAGGTTGACATAAATGCTAGATTTCAGCTTTGGATTCTGCTGGTGGTGAAAATCACGGGTTCCAAGTTTCACCTTGATTGAATCTGCAGTGGTTGTAATTTTGCTAGACTGTGTCTATATGCATTACGTGATTCTATAAATTAGTGGGGCATTCTCCCATTGATGGTGAAAGGAGATGGACCATCCTGATCGTGCTTCTCAATTATAACAAGATTATTTTTCTGTAGCTCATTTTCCATGATTTTGGAGGACCATTTGAAGCTGTGTACAAAAGTTGGTGTAAATATGTATTATTTGTATGTTTTTTACATCTGTAAATGTTTTCTGGAGCATAGAGGAAAGCAAAAAAGCCCTCGAAGAACTTACCAAAAAAAAAAAAAAGCCCTCGAAGAGACAATTTATTGAATAACGACCAATCTTTTGATCCTGCTTGCATCCATCTCCGATCTCTACTGTTAGAAACACTTACCATAATGTTAATAAAATGTAATGTCAAACTTGGGTCATCAGAAACCTCCAAAGCCTAGAAAAACAAATTTTGCCACTACCAAAATATCTCTAGATCTGAAGCTTAATTTTTATGTATCTTTAAGCCTCAATTTTTTTATTCCTCCCATTTCCCCTTTCTCCCCCCTTAGCATGTGAAACAATAAAAGAACAATCCTTTCTTACAGCATTATATGGCTCCACTACTACTGTGTCTGTCTGCAAAGGCCACTATGACACAAGAAGACAAAGTCAAGAAAAACAAAATGTTCTTATAAATAAGGGCTAGAAACCTTGCTGGCGGAATAAAGCAGTCACTGTATATCCCGTGATGTTGAGCTGACAGTCACACCACCATCTTTATCTAGGTACCCTTCAACACTTCACTGCCCGCATTCCCTTCACTCAATATCTAGCCTTCGACAAGGTCTGCCAAACAATTCTAACACCATGGCTGTCATTACAAAGTTTTCTGTTGTTATATCAATGATCATGTTCTTTGCCAGTGTGCTTGCTCTAACCAGTGAACCTACTATTGGAGCTTCTACTGCTGTTTTGCCATATGTAAATGCTCCTAACATGTCTTCTTTTTTCCCTCCTCCAACTGACGAATGGGATCTGGGTCCTGCAGCTCCTCCAAGATTAGGAAAAGTGGCACCGGTGCCAATCTCAGGTGAGTTCGTAGGGAAGAGTTCCTCAAGTCCAGCAGTGTTCAACGGTCATATCACCATATTTGGTATAGTACTTTGTTTCTTACAATATTCTTATATGAAATGAAACTAGTAGTTTTTACTGTGCAGAAGCATAGAATTTGTACCCAATTGTGTGCAAAAGAGCTTGTATGGACTTATTAGTCATTATTTATTATTAACTAAATTACTAGTGTGAGACATTCAGTCATTAAAACCATTTTTACATTATGAATCTGTGCAATAGATCTTGATGTTGCCAAAGAGATTATCCATTTCAAAAAGCTCTTACATTTACAGCAACTGGAATTACAGTCTACAGGGAGCTATAATCAAATGATGCAGTGGAATTACAACTGTGATTTATAGTATCACAACAAAACACACAGGCTAAATCAAGTGGGTCAAAAGAATTAGCTAATGGGACTCTGTTTTAGATGGAGTTTATGATCAGACAATTGCAGGAAAACCCTTGAATCTCTCCTAAAAATCATATAATAAAAGCACATTTTTTTCATCTCTCTTTATTTAAACAAACGAAATTCTGGTGTTTGAATTGGATAAAGTGAGAGCAATATACTGTTTGATATGCTAAGGAGGCACCAGCCCGTAAGTGCAGCAAGGTACATATCGATTGTGAGAACGGATTAAACTTTGATCCATCTTATACCCTCATCATCCTATTTCTAATATATGTACGGAATGATCCCTTGCTAACGGTTTGTACTTGTGATTGCTAGTTTATTTACCATGTTTGTGTTGCATCTTGGATAAAAAACAAAAAAAAATGAAAGTAAAAGAAAACAAAATCTAAATTATTAAAAAGAAATTTTGTATTATTATAGTTATACTATGTATAAAGTTTAAATTTAAAAAATCTTAATTTTAATTTTTTATTTATCTCAGATTTTAAATTAAATTATTTATGAATTGTCTCAATATAATACTCAAGTTTTAAATTAAATTATATATGAATTATCTAAACATAATTTTTTTAATTTAATTGGGTTTGGCTTCAACATTTTATTATTAAATTTGTTTCAATTATTATTAACTTAACACCAATTTCAACTTCCATCTTCTTTTATTCCTAAACAATTGATTTTATGATAGTTTTGCTAATTTATCAATAAAAATCATAAACTGGTATAACTATCAATTTTTTAATGTTGTTATGGTAATGCAATATATGTACACATATGTGGTAACAAGTAAGAGAGATAAATAATCTATTCCCTTATGCTCTGTTGTAAGTTAAATGTTTTTTTAAAACAAATTATATATACTAACTTTTTTTATGTGTATTTATACATAAAAAATCATGTAAATTGAAAAGTCCATGCATATATATAATTAATTAAATTAAAAACTATATCTAAAAAAATTCATTAATAATAACTAAAAACAAAATTAGAAAAATCAAAAGACAAGTATATTTCAAGATATTTAATCTCGTAAGACTGAGATATTTATCTAATTTGTTGAATTTGTTTATTAAATTTAATATTAAATAATAATAGAAGTAAACACATATATTAAATTAATTAGATAAAATAAAAGAAACAAATTATGCAAGGTTACACATATTAAAAATATTATCTGAAAATAAATATTTTTTGTTTTCAAAAATATTATCTGAAAATAAATATATTTTTTTTCAAAAATAAAGTTAATATATATAAAAGATAAAAAAAATTACTACTACTACTATTACTACTATTATCATTAGTATTTTTATTATCATTCTTGTTGTTATTGTCTTTGTCATAATTACTATTATCATCATTATCATTCTTTGTCATAATTACTATTATCATCATTACCATCACTATTACTACTACTACTACTATTATTACTCATATCATTACTATTATTTTTATTAATATTAATATTATCATTATAATTATTACTATTATCACTACTGTTATTATTAAAATAAATTATTATTATGTATACTATTACCACAATTATCATCATCATCATCATCATTTGTTGTTGTTGTTGTTGTTATCTTTATTATTATCACTATTAATATTATTATTAGTACTGCTAATATTATCATTATTCTTGTCATTAACAAAAAAAACTAAAAGAGGAGGGGGTTTTACTGTACCCCTACTCATAAAGCACTACTAATTGAAATATATATTTTTTGTTATTTATTCTTTGATTTTTTTTTCAATCAATGTTTTTTTAAAAAAATATTTGATTTTTTTTTCAATCAATGTTTTTTTTTAAATATATTTTTTAATATTAAATATATTTTTTATTAGGTTATCTCATTCTTAGGACATGGATCACGAGTTTGGCGAATTAATCTGATTGACTTAGTTTTTTTCCTTTTAATTAACAGTTTTTTCAATTTTGTCTTTTAATATTGGATCGAGAAACAAACTTTATGATTTGTTTTGTTTGCTTTCTATTAGGCTATTCCAATCTCATGACTCAAGAATAATACTTAATAGGTTAACTTGAGCTGACTTGAGTTATTTTTAGTGTCTTTTTATAATTGATAATACTTAATAGGTTAACTTGAGCTGACTCGAGTTATTTTTAGTGTCTTTTTTTAATTGAATTTTTTTAATTTCATCATTCAACATTAGGTCGATTAGGAATTGAACTTCATAATTTATTTTAATTTTCTTTATATAGGAATATCTTGATCCCATGATCAAGGTTGCAAGTTTTGGTATTTTTACCTAGGTTAAATTGATTCATTTTTTTCCTAAGAGATTATCCTAGTCTCATTACCATAATCATGAGTCTTTCAATATTAGATTTGCTTTTTATTGGGTTGTCCTCATCTCATTATCTAGGGTCACGGGTTTGACAGGTTAACTTCGTTGAATTTTTTTAATTAACTTTTTTTTTTCTAATTTTATTATTTAATAACATGTTTGATTGAGAACTTAATATAAACCAAGTCAGGTTAAAATTTTCCTTAAAATATTTGATGACAAGTTTTGTGAGATCGG